CCTTTTGGGAACATTCTAATGACTAAATAGATATTTATTATTTCAGATTATATTTGTATTCTTTGAAAGTTTATTCCTGAATTATTTCATTATTTACTTACTCAGGTTTTGTCTTGTGGAAAGTGAGTAGCACCTCAGAGGTACTATCACTCAGCTGGAGACTTCTGTGTCAGTCTCGACTTCTGTACCTCCTCTGTCGGTTCTTATCCGTCTTTGTCCAGAAAGTCCCCAAAACGTCATGATTGCTGCTGCAGCATCAGCCTTTCACCTTTTCTTGCCGGGATAGCATATTGCCTGAGATATGCTTCTAGTTGCCTTTCTGTTCCTGGTTCCCCTCCTGGTCGTTTCTCTGCCATGCTTTCTTTCTGAAGTGAAAGCTCGATGATGTCAGTTCTTACCTCAGATGTTTTCATGCATTTTCAGCGCTCTCAGAGCATGGGACACAAGGCTTTTCATCATCTGCCTTTGTTCTGTGCTGTATTTGACAAATTCTCCCTCACATAACTAAAGGAAATCCTGGAGGAAGTGTTGTGATCCTAAAGAACTCTGCACCCTCTATTCTCTATTCTCTATTCTCTATTCTCTATTCTCTATTCTAATGTATAAAGAACTACAGAGAGAGTATAAGTAAACTGTATAGCTATCAAATTTCTAAAAATATTAACAGAAACTAAGCCAGCAGTCACGGTGGGTAAATATGGTAGGTAGGGGTAGGGACAGGGTAATAAAAATGACAGTTTAGTTAGGCTTCATTTATAATTAAACTCAATTCAAATCACAGACTCTTCCTGCAAGGCCACATACACACTCAAGGTGCCCTGAGAAGAGGCGAATGTTCCCACAGTCAGTTCACTGGCTGAAGAATGGGCGCGGATCACGAAGCAGAGCAACAGTGACAGGTTGTGCTGGCGAAGGATGCCACCGCTGCTGGCTCGGACTGTCAGGCACAGTGCAGACTTTCCCTTTCGTGATCCTCCCATCAGGTAAAAGGAGCCTGTGAATTACTCTGAGAGCAGGAATAGTCAAGGAAGGAGGACAGAATATGCTGCCCCAAAATATGAAGAACTTCAGGCAGTAGGCAGTTTAAGAAGTAGGTGCAGGAAAGCTGTCTGACCTCCCCTTGCTTATCAAACTGCAGGACATGGCATTAGGAAGAGAAAGGTACCCTGCCTTCCTTCCGCCAGGGAGAACAAGGTGAAGCCCTGAACTCCGCACTCCCATCAGTGGAGGCCGTACCGGAAAACCCCACTCGGATCTGCACCCCGCCTATAAGCCTTGCTCCGCATTTATGTGCCTTCCCACAGGCTGCTGCCCCACAAACTCAAAGTTCTTTTCCTTTCTCTTGGCTTTTCCCTAAAAATTCACTGTCCTTTGTTGAAGATGATATAAAAGCTAGAACTCAAATTCGTCCTTCTCTGAAAGTCTCCCATGAATATAAGGAATACACATTTCAATAAATTTGTTTTTCACTTGTTAAAAAAAAATTATTCTTCCCCTAAAATTCCATACCCTAAAACACACCTCCTCATCTCTTGTATTTATTTCTCCCTAAAGTAACACACTTTTGCCAATAAGTGCATCATTTGACTCAATGCATTCCATCAATCTTAGTAGTGAAATAGGATAGGCACCCTCATGGGAAAAGTGGCGGGATTCTCAGGCCCTCATCTGTAACTTTTTCCCAGTATAGGTGACCATGTGACTGACACTGTCCTCCCTCCTGACGATGCAGGGGTGCACCCCCTTTACCCCATGCTCCTACCACCTCCACAAGGACAGCAAGATGTGCTGTGACAACAGGGATGCCCACTGTCTCCAGGATGGACACAGCATCGATCCCTGTCTCACGCCAGGAAGAGTCCCCAAAAATCTGAGGAAGAGACCTCTAAACCCCACCGTACTCATGGCCTAGCAGAGAGCTACCAGCTCTCGTCCACCCCAGCAAAGCCATAAAGATGAGACCAGTTCTGCTCACAGGCCAGTGTGATATCCAGCAGACCGTGTCTCTCTCAGCTAGCTCCTTTTCCTGCTGAAGCCCACATCTTCTCTTCTTTCTCAGTGAAGGTTTTTACCTATAGATTCGTGCTGCTGAGGCACATACTGAAGCAACTTCCTGCCCACGTCTGGTGTCAGTGCCACTATGGCACACAAACTCGTGCTAAGTTAGACCAACAATTATCACTGAACTTCAGTGTTTTACACTTTCACACAGAGCATAACCAGAGAACTGCCGCAGTGAATCCCAAGACTACTGTACAAACCTTTCACTTCCCAGTGATTCACAGTGCAGCAAAGAGCCATCATGGGGCGATGGAAAGAGCAACAGGCCAGCTGCCTGAAAACCTGCCCCGCTCTTGGTTCGTACGTCACCAGTTACATACACAGGGGCCAAGTCGCCCAGTCACCTTGACCTGCACCATCCTTATCTGGAAAACAGCACTAATAATGCCGCTCCTGCCCAACTAAGAGAAACGCTGTGGAAAGCTAATGAAATAAGCTTGTTCAAAGTCCTAATTAAGATCCGTACAGCATATTCTAGTGCACAGAGGATTTACAGTCTTCACCAGCAAAGTGCAGAAATACCAGGACAGTAAGGGAGAGGACAGCATGATGCTACACAGGACTTCTTACCTAGCTGAGAGGTACCAGGCCATGCCCATGACCTCCATCAGCCTTAGTTCTTAGTCCAGGAGCTGAAGTTAGCAATTACAACTACCTAACACAATTGTTCAAAGCAAAAAGATTGACAAATACAAAAGTGGTGACACGTATCTGTAATGCTAACACTCGTAAGGATGAGGCAGGAGAACTCCTGTGAGTTTAAGGCCAGCTTGGGCTACATAGCAAGACCTAGTCTCAAAACCAAACCAAATCAAAACAAAACACAACCCCCTATAAATGGCAGACTGATAGGGAAGCATGATAACAGTGACTGAGAAAAAGAGCCAAATGAATACTATACTACAAGGAGATTGCTCTTAGCCCAGACTAATGCAGTACAGTAAGTACAAACAGAAGAGAAATAAAAAAGACAAGCTTATTTGCCTAAATGATACAAACACTTGTCTAAATGCTTGTTTCTCAACACTGTAATAGACAAAATGTCAAGAAAAAAATTACAAATCCAGAGAAGGTATGAAGAACTACAGAGAGAGTGTAAGTAAACTGTACAGACATCAAATTTCTAGAACTATTATTAACAGAAAGTAAGACAGCAGCCCAGGTGGGTAAGCAGGGTGGGTAGGGCTAGGGAAAGGGTAACAAAAATGAAGTTTTATTTAGGCGTCTTTTATAATTTAAACTCAATTCAAATTACAAATAGGATTTCTCTTCTACTGATCTATGATCAGAAGAGCTTACTTATGTCTTGATTAATAAGCATCACAGCTATTTAACGCATCTGTACTATTCTGCATAGACGTAGCTACACCTACTTCTTAAACTGCCTACTGCCTGAAGTTCTTCATATTTTGGGGCAGCATATTCTGTCCTCCTTCCTTGACTATTCCTGCTCTCAGAGTAATTCACAGGCTCCTTTTACCTGATGGGAGGATCACGAAAGGGAAAGTCTGCACTGTGCCTGACAGTCCGAGCCAGTAGCGGTGGCATCCTTCGCTAGCACAACCTGTCACTGTTGCTCTGCTTCGTGATCAGCGCCCATTCTTCAGCCAGTGAACTGACTGTGGGAACATTCGCCTCTTCTCAGGGCACCTTGAGTGTGTATGTGGCCTTGCAGGAAGAGTCTGTGATTTGAATTGAGTTTAATTATAAATGAAGCCTAACTAAACTGTCTTTTTTATTACCCTGTCCCTATCCCTACCTACGGTATTTACCCACCGTGACTGCTGGCTTAGTTTCTGTTAATATTTTTAGAAATTTGATAGCTATACAGTTTACTTATACTCTCTCTGTAGTTCTTTATACATTAGAATAGAGAATAGAGAATAGAGAATAGAGAATAGAGAATAGAGGGTGCAGAGTTCTTTAGGATCACAACACTTCCTCCAGGATTTCCTTTAGTTATGTCTGCAACAGCCATATTTGATTGTGCCTATTTTTCCAGCATCTGGTTTTACCTAAATGGACTTCAACCTGTTTATGGAGTTGGGCGTAGTTAGTATACTATGTCAAGAAGATGCACAGTTACAAAGGTAGTTCTGTTGGAGACAATGGCTTCTCCTAGAGAAGCAGGGAATTAAGAGTCAGAAGCTTCCGCCACTACTGTCCTGCCTTGTGATCTGGACAAGTTTCTAACCCCTAGAGCCTCCATTTCCTTACTTGTTAAATGTAAACTAAAAATGCTTTTTTGGGATGATTGTAAGGATGTAATTAGAGAACATAGATGAAGACTTTGCATATTGTTAAGTGGTATTAAGTATTATTTATTTTAATAAATAGTGATTATTGCATGGCATTCCTTCAAACAAATTATTTCAATTCAGACTTCCTATACTACCAAAAAAAGGTGTTTTATCCATTTGACAGATAAAGAAGTGAGGATGCAGAACATCTAGCTAACTGTGTAGTGCAGGCTGGCCTTAAACTCACTATGTAGCCCGTACTGGCCTCAGACTCAGTGATCTTCCTGCCTCAGCCTCCCCAGTGCTGGGATTGCAGGCTTGCGCCACTACAGTCAGCTGAGTCTTAAGTAAGTTGCTCAGGAACTGACTGAGGTGATAGTTTCTGATTTAAATCTCTTTTCTTTTTGCTGTGCCGCTATGCTGTTAATAGTGGGTAATTAGCAGAGGATTAACTCTAAGAGCAGTTTGGATTATGCTTTTAAGAAACAGAAGTAGAGTCCTAGACCAGGAGTGAGGAGATCCAGACTGTCGCTGTTTTTGTCTTATTTTTAGATAAGTTACTTAAATGTGTTTTATTAAATACATTTAAAATACTTGACCACCTTTCTGCTAAATATTGTATAAATACTTTTTTATTTGATCAGTAGTGTTTTACAGATCCTTACTTGGTATTTCCTTATGGTTTGTGTTTGTTTTCAGCCATTCCTACACCGGCCAGGATTACAGTGTGCAGGGAAACACCGGGAAGATCTCTCTAGATCAGCTCGACTCGGTAAGCATCATCTCCTCTTCTGCTTAGACCTTTGTTAATGGAGGAAACGACAGATTTTCTTCAGAGATTTTCCAATGATACAGTGGGAGAGAATGTTATATTGTTTCTTCCTGATTACTTTTAAAGACAATCGCATGTCCTATGTATAGGGTTTGTTTTCAACATAGGAAAACCAAACTTAACAAGAAAGTTATTTATAGTTTAATGAAATAGAATTCATTGAATTATTCCAAAAGCCGGTCTTTTAAGTAATGGTAGCCAAATGGTGTATGTTTATATTTGAGTACCATATATCTTTAGCAAAGGAGATATGGGGAATGATAAAGACAAGTTTGCTAGATTATCATAACGGTGTCACAGACTGGTGACTCAGACAGTGTACTTATATTCTGTCCCAGTTGGAGGCTAGACTTCCAGGATTGGGGTGGCAGTAGGTTTGATTTCTCCTAGCAGCCACTTGTCTTATAGGTGGCTGCTTGTGTTGTGTCTTCATATGGTTTCTCACTGTGTGTGTATATCCCTGGTGTGTCTTTATCTTCTTATAAGAAAACTAGTCATATTTGCCAAGTGTGGTGGTGCACACCTGTAATCCCAGCACTCAGGAGGCTGAGCCTGGAGGATTGTTGCGAGTTTGAGACCAACCTGGGCTACAGAGTGAGCTCAAGGCCAACCTGAACCGCATAGTGAAAGCCTGTCTCAAAAAGACAATCAATCAATCAATCAATCAATCAATAGAACATTAGTCACATTTAGTTCCAGCGTCATGAGCTCACATGTAACCTTAATTACCTCTTGAAAGATCCTCTCTCCAAGTATACTCATATTCTGGGTTTTTTATCCTAGTTTTCTCCTACCCCGTACATCACTTGTTCCCCTTCCCATTTGAAAAAGACCTCCCTCCTTCCTATTATCTGTCTTTTATTTTGCTTTTTATTTATATATTATTTGTTATATAAGAGAAACCATGAACTATTTAAGCTTGTATATCTGATTTATTTCATGTAACTTTATGGCATCAAGGGGCATCCATTTTCCTACAAGTGCCTCAAGTTTATATGATTCCTTATGGCACAGTAATATGCTACCATGTATAAAAACTACATTTTCTGTATCCATTTATCTGTTCATGGGCAGATAGGGCTTTTTCAAGATTTAGCTGTTGTAAATTGTCTTGTTAGAATGTCATTAATACACTTTGCTATACTTTAATTTTTACAGTTTCTCCTTAATTTCTAGTAAAATTTATACTCTATATACAAACAAAAAATAAGTTATACATAAAATAACCTTTACTTAGAGAGTTACCAAATTATTCACAGTAAATTAAAAATATCCTGAGATTTTACTGCTGGGAAATAAGAATTATAATAAGGTTAGTAGGGACAGACCAAAATGAATAGATTGTCTCCTATTTAAAAAATTATAATCCAGTACTTGCAGTTAAATACAGTTTTCCCAGAAAGGTATATACATCAGAAAAAGAAAAAGTTGTATTAACATTTTAACACAAATTTATTGAGACATCAGGAGATTAATACAAGTTGCCTTTGGCCTCTACAATTACAAGAGGTCCTCAAAGTGGTGGCCATGAGCTTCCAAAAGAGATTGCTTCGTATAGCAGACCACTGAAGTGTGTCTACATTTTTTGGCAGACTCCATATGTCTAGAAACAGAATAGGGTTATCTACCTTACACAAGTGATTCAGAATTTGTCAAGAATGTCTCATCTCTTAACTTCCTCTAAATAGTTATTTCATTTCCTAACAATTCCTTCTACTCCCCTGCTACCCTTCTCTTCCCCATGATTCGCGATTGTTTTATGACCCGGAGATTTAGAAATTAATGCTGTTCCAACACTAACTAGATGCTTTCTTGTTCACAAGCATGTGTGAACTTGGTTAGGTCCTGTGGAGGGCCACAGTTGAGTAATAATTGATTTATGTAGTGAATGTATGTTGAGCCTATCAGTTGTGATGTAGAGGTGAGTAAAACAGAAAATATTCCTACCTTTGTGGACCTTCTTTGAGGAAGATAGACAACATAGTAAGTAAATGAGCAGTGTAATATAAAATGACAGTAATGCTATGATGATCATATGGCTAAATTTCCTTTTGACACTAAAGGAAAGCCCTGTAATTTTAAAAATTGTTTATTTCTTTAGCATATTATTTAACTTTTTCTTTTGTATTCCACTTGGTATTTGATTTATCTTACGAATTGACCTGCTTCGTAGCAGCTGTACTTTTGTCCATTTATCATGTCGGGGAAATGAAATCTTATACCTTTGCACAATCCTTTTTAAGATTATATGTAGCAGTTTTGAAATAAAAAACTGGAAACAACCCAAGTGGTGTTCAGAGAGTGAATGTTAAATTGTGGTACATCCAGATCTTGGAATACTACTCAGAAATTTAAAAAAAAGAGCTTAGATACAGCAATGTAGACAAATCTCGAAGGGATTATGCTGCATAAAAAAAGCCAGTCCCCAAATTTTATGTATTATATGATTCTGTTTTTGTAATCCTCATGAAATGAGGAAACTACAGAGCTGGAGAGGGCAGGTTAGTGGTTGCTGAGGGCTGGGGAGAGGGGTGGAGAGAGTCGGGATGATTTTAGAAGAGAGCCGGGAGGGATCCTGTGGAACTGTCCTGCATCCTGCCTATGTGGTGGATGTGTGAACTTATGCAAGTGACAAACTGGCCTCACACGCACAGGCACACAGAAATATGTGCATGAGTAAAACTGAGGGAATCCTGGACTAGTGGAGTGTAGCAGTGTTGGGATTCAGGTTATGATAACGTGCTGTAGTTTTGCAAGCTTTTATTTTTTAAGGCAGCCAAGGCACACAATACCTCTTTGTATTATTTCTTATAACTGTGTGTGAATCTATAGCTGTCTACAAAGAAAAAGTTTTCAAATGAGATAGGTGAAATAAATTTTAGTAATAATTTATAAAATTATAAATAATTTATGAAATAATTTTATTTGACCCCATGTATTGAAACACTGTCATCTTAACATGTAATCAGTGTAAAAATGTTAGTAAGGAAAAGTCTGTCTACAGATACAGAAAAACTTGCTTATGGTGTTCTGTTGTTTCAATTAGACTGAGTCACAGTCACACACATATATATCGTGGGATCCTGGGTGTCTCCCCCATAACCAGAAGCTGTTCCTCTCGTAGCTTTCAACCACATCCTTCCCACCCTGCATGCGCCAGCTACACAAGGCCTTGCGGGAAAATCATCACCTCCGGCATGGAGGCCGCATGCAGTACGGGCTCTTCCTGAAGGGCATTGGCCTAACCCTGGAGCAGGCTCTGCAGTTCTGGAAGCGAGAGTTTGTCAGAGGAAAGATGGATCCTGACAAGGTAATTATGAAAAGTCAGACTGCTCACTGAAATTTTAATTTGGTCTGAAACTAAAGTCTCTGTTTGTTTGTTTGTTCATTTGTATTAGAGCCTGTTAGTAATACAGAACAATGAGGTTCATTTTGGGAAATGTCTGTGCAACTTGATCATATTCAGTCCCCTTTTCCTTCTCTCCCTTTTTTCCCCACCTCCTCCTGTCCCATCTTCCGCCCCCAAAAGTCTAAAAGGTCTGGCTTTTTAAAATAGCCCTGGAAATTCTGAAAGATAAATGTGTCTGCAAGGTAGCTTAGGTAAAAAGAAAGTTATGTAATGGGATGTGCTAACCAAAGGCTCAAGAAAGGTCACTTCCCTTTGCTGGTATGCAGCTGTTGGTAGGAACTCTAAGACTGAAATGGCTTTCTGAGTTGTTTCTGTAGGACCGTGTATATAGACTTGTATGTACATACATACATACATACATACATAATGTCTTGGAGACTAGGAGATACTATGGTTTTTTTGTTGTTGTTTTTTTTTGTTTTGTTTTTTTCCAGCACCAGGAATTGAACTCACAACCTTGCGCTTGCCAGGCAGGTGCTGTGCTGTTGAGCTAAATCCCCAGCCCCCAAGGAGATACCATGAACAGTTAAAGTAAAATCAATTTAAAATATTTGTATTACGTTATACAGAATCTTTCGTAGACCATTGTTATCAGTCACTATAAAACTGATCACCTGTTTTTAAATCTACCCCTGGTATTCAGGCTTTTCACTCCTACTTCTGGTTTCTTTTTAGTTATGCTAACTAATATTTTATTTTGAAATGTGGTTTCTTGCCCCTTTTATACCACATTGTACTATGATGTAAATACTTTAATCCTTAGCTTACTTCTTTTTAATGTAAAAGGTTGATTATGAAACAGAAACATTGACAAAGTACATTTTATAATAAACACTTTATTATATCATGTATTCTTTTGCTGGAGTTGCCATAACAAAACACCAAAGCCCGGGTAGCTTACACGATAGAACCCTGGAAACCCAAGATGAAGGTGCTGGCCTGGTTAGTTTTCCCCAGAAGCTCTCCTTGGCTCACACATTGCTGTCTTGACACAGTCTTTTCTGCGTGTACCCCAGAGACCGCAAGTCCAAAGGCCTGACAACCAGGATGAAGTAGCGCAGTTCTAGGGCTGCCTGGCTCATGTTGAGGAACAGTGTTGCGCTTTCCTTTGCAGGCAGTCAGGGAGAAGACACCCACTTCTGGGAGGGTCAGTCTTTTTGTTCTGGCCAGACCTCTGACTGAGGAGACCACCCTCACTGGGGAGTGTGGTCTGCCCCGCTGCTGCCGCGAGCTCCCACACTGGGTTCACCCGCAGACACACCTAGCATAACAGTGTGACGTTCCACCGCCTCTGGGCGCCTCACAGCCTGGTCAGGCCAACCACAAAATTGCAGTAGGTGAATATTTATAAGTTGGACGAAAAGGCAGTGATTTTGGAGTAGAAGGAGAAAGAAGATGAGCTAGAGTTTTAGCTCAGTTTGTGCTGTAAACTAAGAGAGCAAAGGAGAGGTAAGGGAAAATCAGAGCCACGGGCCAATGTGGACCCTTGCTGTGAGTTTCGGGTCTTTGTGGCCTGTTTGCTGATTTGCCTTCTGTGTATGTCTGGGGTGGCCTGTGTGTCACTGGGTTCAACGTTGCAGGTTTTTAAAAACATGTAAATTTTTTTCTTACGGGATTTTTATTTTGCAATGTAAGCATTGTGCAAAATTTATATGTTCAGTAATCTTTAGTTTTGTAGATACATAGTCTGTATTTTCATAAGCATGTTATTATAACAAATACGTTATTTTGACTAGAAGACTGTTACATTTATGAATCACTGAGGCTTTTTGCTGTTTTGTTATTACATAGACTATAAATAAAAAATGGTCATGTTTTTCTGAATTATATTGTAAACTTTCACAGTAAAATGAGGGATACTAAATTATAATACTCTCTTTAACTTAATAGCTATACCTATCTGTCAAGTAACATATTCAATTAAAAATAGTCTTAAGAGGCGTAGAAAATAGTTGGCTTAAAATACTATTTATGGAGTATTTTGTAGAATGGTTATGGAGGATGTGTATTAGACATTTTTATAGTATTCCAAAAGACATACGTGAGAAAGAAACTCACTGAGATAATGTGAGATGAGAAAGTTACCGGGGGGATCATTCTAGAGAAGATCAATCAGGATTTCAAGGGGCTGGGGATTTAGCTCAGCGGCAAAAGCGCCTGCCTGGCAAGCGCAAGGTCGTGAGTTCGGTTCCCGGTACCGGAGAAAAACAAAAAAAAAAAAAAAAAGGGGGGGGGGATTTCAAGAAGTGAGTGGCGTTAATTAGTAGAGAGAGAACTAAGAACAAGCATACACCATGAACAAGAAATGACTGCAAAGTAGATAAAATGTTTATTCACTCTTCCATTGTTTGTTCTCTTTTATAATTCTTAGGTTCATTCTCTGAGCTGTTTTCTTAGCTGGTTTGGGCATTGCTTTGTGTTTGGTTGCTCTCATTTACAAAGTAAAAGATGAATAAAAGGAAATAGGGAGCTAGATCTCATGCAAATGAAGGGGACCAAGACACTGAAGGTGGAAGGAGGGCGGCAGGGGAAGGAGACTTGGAGAGCTCTAGGACTCCTTGTGTCCCTGCACCAGCTGTCCACAATGAATGTAATCATTGTGTGCCACAAGCAAGAGCTAAAGTAATAATAGCAGTAATCAGATGATGAAGAGAATGGGGGAAGGAGATCTAGAGACAGAGGGAGTGGGGGACGGGAAAGGCACTAAAAAGAATCAGGATGTGTGGTATCTTCTCTTCAAGATGAATGTAAGCCTCATGTACAGCAAACGTGAACAAATAAAATAAATTTAAAAGCAGTTAAATCTCTCACGTACTGAATGTAACCACAGACCAATCACGGAACTGGAAAAAAAGCTGTGCTTCTAGATTTCTCTTTTGAATTTATTTTCTCTGTAGAGTTGAGCACGGTTTTATTTGGATAGAATAGGGGCTCTTAGTAGTAAAGCACAGCCATTTGTAAGGGAGCAGCCTGCTGTTATGAACGATCTTATAGCAAACCAGTTGCTACCTCAGTCCAGAAATATTAGGGTTATAACGTAAAGTTTTAATTCTTAGGCTTAACTGTGTTTAGTATGAATATTTATGATATATTAAAAGTTTAAAAGTAAAGCCCTTTCAGTTCACCTTTGTCCATGCTGGTTGGAAACATTTGAAGGTTACAATAGGATTCTTAGGATCTGTGAACAATTCATAACAAATATTTGAATATTTTATTTCTTAAGTAATGTCTAAGATTCCTGAAATAAATGTGCCTATGCTTTATGCAGATAAAATATATTTTATTAATCATAATGAAGTTTTATGCGTGCTGTTCTTAGTTGTAATTGTAATTTACATATCAGTCTACCTGAGAAAAAGCCTCACTGTGTATCAGAGATTCAATTAACCAAATCCTTAAATACAGCATGAAAAAACATACCTCTAAACACTCTCTCACTTGGAACTTGGCTGTTAAATCACTTCAGCCTCTAGAATTAAATTGAAGTAGATCATTCGTCTAATAAACTCAAAGCAATGTGTCCTCTCAATCATATTTCCTGCAGTGTTATTACTCTGAATTGCCTTAACCTGGCTCTCTTGGATATTAAACACAACATAGATCATGTACAATTTATATAGCTGGAATTCCTGTCCCTGTTGATAGCATATTTAAGGTCCACTCTATGTTGTTGTAATTGGGTCAAGGAACATTTAGCACTGTTTAAAAAGCTTATCTTTTGTCCCAGAATCTAGTTTGCATCATGACTCAGAGCAGGCTGCTTCTGTTAAAGCTATCAAAGAATTACATGTTTGGCTTATGAGGTGTGAGTATAAGGAGCATATTTCTTGCCAGGATTTTTTTTTAAAGACGAGTGGATCTCAGCGTCAACATTCGTGAGCTGGTTACAAGTGCAGATTCGCTGAATCAGGCACTGTGAACACGGCCCACGACTTCCACAAGAAATTAATGTGCAATAATGATCAAGAACCACTGTTTTAAATATTACTCCTCTAGAAATCTAAAATGAATATTGGCTTGTCCAAAGAATAGGCATTGAAATTCTTCAGCTTTTATTTGTTCTTCTACCTGCTTCTGTTGGAAATTTGATCATAATGTACTGTCACTTGTCAGTAACCCATATGTGTATTTGAGCTGCTGTTACATGCCAACTATTAGTAAATACTAAAGGAATCTGTGCAGCAGAGATCTTCAGCTCACACACTGGGAATGCGTTTCCAGTGTACTCCAGTACTGATCCTGTGGTCCCTTGAGGAAGCTAGGCTGGGCCTGTGGTACTTACAGCTAGAACTTTCAACTGTAAGCAGCTTCTTGCTTTATAAGTATCATTTTGCATGTGCTCAGTGACATGCAGAAGGTTGGAAGGAACTGATCCAGAGCACAGGCTTGGTGTCAGCCTATGTCCAGGTTTGGTTCCTCCGTATACAAACTCCATGGACTTAGGCAAGTTTGCTGACACTGTTGGTGAGGAATTGAGGGTTTGGTATTAGTCCTGACCAATAATGTTAGCTATTCCTATTTTTGATATTCATAAAGAAAGAGAAGTTAGCTTGGCATAGAATAATCAGTAAAGTTTTCAAAGGCAGAATACACTTTATGCTTGCTTATTAGGAGGTTTCATATGAGCTAGAATGGAGAAGGTTAAGGGCAAAGAAGGGCTTGAAGGACTGAATTACAGCAGAGATCATTTCGTGTAGGAGATGTTCAAGAGATGTATGTAGTGGAACGGACTTCTGGCTGTCTTCTAGGGACAACTGAAGTTCTACAGCAGTGGCCAGGAACCAACAGGAGACTGAGATTGGGCAGCTGGTTCCAGCTTCACTTACAAAGTGTGATTATATTATCGACCTGTTATCTCCAACACATCCTCCATTTCTACTAGTGTCGGAGCTTTCGTCCAT